TAAATTATTTTTATCTTCATCTAGATAAAATATTTTTAGTTCATCTTTATCTTTATCTAGATAAAATTTTAGTTATCTGGGCTCAACACTGGTCCTGATCCTCTATCTACATTAATTCTAATACGAGATTTAAATCCAACTTTAACCCATTATTAACATTTTTTCACTTTCTGTCGGCTATTTTTTCAGTTTGTTAACCTCTTCGTCATTATCATGAACAATCTAGAAATATGATCACCAGATCACTCCAATGTGTATTAAATATATAAGCTTTACATTACTTTCTTAATGTTAGCAATTTTCTGAATTATTATTCGAATCAATTATTCTAGCCAAGCTTAGTTATAATTTTTCTTGTAACAGTTCGGTTTCTATACACACAATAATAAACTAAGTCTAATTTAGTTTCTAATTATTTTTTCGTTAACGCTGTTGAAAAAAGTGATTAGTTGGATTCCACTTACATGCCGACATCAGCAAAGCCTTCTGTTCGGCGAATTGCAGTTTTAATATAAAATAAAAGCTAATGATCGTCAGCAGTAATTTTAGAACCCTATAAATATTTCTTATAAGTCACGTGAAGAGTTAAAATTAATGGTTTTATTTCAAATGAGATTCTTGTGACTTTTAATGAACGAAATTTCACGGCTCAAACCATTAGATACAACGGTGATTTTTCTTCCGTAAATAGGGTATTAGCTCGGTGTAATAATATAACAGATATTATTCATGCGACCTGTAATATTATTCTGAACAGCCTGGTTTTTAATCTAAAAGTTGAAATTTTACTTATATATTCTTATATTCCTCCTAGTCCTATATTATTAATTTTGTTGATTCGTGCTTTTAATTTTTTTTAGTCAATCTTCCCAATATTGATCTATGTTTTAATAGTTTTATTTTGTTACAACATGTATTCAATAACCTTGTTCACCACATATGAAATTCCATCATAGGCTGGTTTTTTCTGCCAAGTTCATTGCAGTACTAGATCTAAGAGGGAGGCAAGCGATACCCGCAAATATACAAGAATACCGCTTGATCCAGAGGCTGTTGGTATAAAGATAGTGGCGTATTTATGGGGGGGTGATATGGGGGATAGATCCCCCCTTGACCTTTTTTTTTATATAGAAGTTAAGTTGTCTCATTTTCTGTATTTCTCAAGTATGATATTACTTTTAATTATGTCTGCTTTCTAAATGTTCTAGTCGTGGTTATTGTACCGCTCTGATATACTAATCGCTACTAATCGTTGGCGGCATACGCAACTATCGGGCAACAAAAATATATACCTATATAATATATGGTGTACTGTATTTTGTTTCTGCGAATTATTTTTCATGCAAGTGTTTATAATAAGCCCGATAAGCAGTCGCTAAATAAAACAAAATGGCTATGATGACCATGGAATTACCTAAGGCGGGTTTGTTTTTAGAAAATTTGTTACTAGTTTATTATATCATGATACGGTCGTCAACTACCAATTTATGACCTTATGGGTGTATTATTAATTATTATATATTTCATCCCCCTAGCAAAATTCCTAAATACGCCACTGTATAAAGGAGCTTTTAATTTTATGAAAAATAAGTCCTGAGCATACTCAGTACTTCCACCTATGTAAGGGCGCTGCAATTTTATTAGCCATTGGCATCAAATTTCCTATATACGGCACTGGTCTGCAGCTTCATGCAATATATAAATAATTAACTACTTTTATCCATACTTATTTATCGAAATTTCATGTTTTACTGATTCACAATCATCAGTCGTTGTATAAAAAAATGTCTTTATACATTAAACAATTGGAAAAAAAACCAAAACTAACAAATATGTTATATAGAAAAACAATTGGAAAAAAAAAATCAAAACTAATAAATATGTTATATAGAAAACCTGCCTTATTCCTTCGTATTTTCATAAAATAAATAATAAATAAATACCAAAACGTTAAAATCGGATTACCTAAAAGTTCGCACACTAGGAAAAAAAGTAAAATTACGCAAATTAAACAACAATCAATAGTGAACAATGAAAGGGGACAGGTTATACATAATAATAGCTGGTGTTGTGTACTACAGAGGCGGTCATTTTATACACGTATACAGGCATCGCAAAAAACGGAAGACGTTACGTTAAGACAATTAAGTTTTATGCAATGTTCCCTCTAATTTCCTTTTTTTCCTCTATATTTACATTTGTCGCCTGGATGCATCATCAGCGTATTTACAAAGAATCCTATTGCGCGGTATAACACGGTACCTACATATAAACGACGCATCACTGCATTTCCGATGTTTCTCTCGAGGATAGGGGGGGGGGGGTAGTGATGTACAGCAGCGCAACTACGGCAAGAGCATGTTTTTACACGTTCAAACGACACGATGTGTCGATGCTGGGCGAGTGGACTTTTACCGGATTATCTGAAGTTGGGAGAAAAACAAGGACGTGGGACGGAATGTTCTTCGACGTAACGTAATGCATTAAGTACGAGGATCGAATAAGCGCGGCGTCATTAGCGAATAGCTGTAATGGATTAAAATTTAATAATATAACAAAAGCCAAAAGGCAAAGTACGCGCATATTATACCGATAGGCAATACACGTTATGCACCACTCGGCGCTATGAAGGAACGGGTGAGGGCACACGAATGATACACTAATGATTCCGATCGCCTTACGAAAAAAATATAAAACCGAGATTAGACGAGCAACGGTTGCGGCTGAACAAGAGAGCCGAGAAACGACAAGCCAGTCGAGTGTATGCGAGCGGAGAAGAATTAAACGAGTAAATGACGACGATCCGCGAGTGGAAACGGGGTTACGAATGGGACGCGAAGGACACATGGTCGATATGGATTAGCAATGGATAATGGAATGTGTTTTAGAACGGAAAAAATTTTCCTCGGAGGCATACCTAAATTATGTACAATATGCTTATTTATATACCATTGAGTATCATATCATATCACTATATATATACCATACCACTAGGATTGTTGTTATCAATTTATATATAAAACACACAAGACGATTTTTGCAATTTTCAATATTATATTTAAGTATGACTTAAAAAATGGTAAATACAATTTTTATAATTAAATATGTATCGTACTGGAATAGCCTATAATAAACTTTGCAATTAATATAATATTCACTTAAACAAAAAAAAAAATAAAATAAAAATAATAGCAAAATAATCAAAATAAACACATAATACTCTAGGAAGATAAAAACACTCGCAAATAACACAGTAATATTAATAGCAACCACCAAAACAGAAAAATAAATAAATATATATAAACAAAAATATAAACAAAATATCAAGGCAAAGAAATTATTGATTACTTTATTATTTGACTAAAACCGACAAAAAACGGTTATAACGAATACAATGTTTCACGTGCCTATACTACACAACGGTGTATTAATTAATATCTAAGGTAATACAAAATAAAAACAAACAAAAAAAAAAACAAACAAAACAAAAACATAAGTTTGGATCATCTATATAATATATCATTTTATACCTATAAATTTATTGCACCCGGAAATAATTTATTTATATAAAACATTATAATTATTATTTTTATTATTATATTTAAAATTAATTATATTAATTGTGACTCTAACAATATGAATTAAACGTCTAAATTAAGTCTTCATATATAAATATGGCTATTTTCGTTAACAACTATTTTTATTTTTAATTGCCTATTGCCTAAAAAAAAACCATGCTACGTTAAGAGGGTTAGTGGGGCAACAGTATGGCTATTGTTTGTGGGAAATATGATATTTTTTCAAATCATATTTTCAAGCTAAGTTTTATAAAGGATAGTTGTCATTTATTTTTTTGATACTGAATGCTTTAGAAAAAAAAGAAAGCGAGGCTTACATTATTATAGTTTATCTGCCGTCTCTTTAAATCACAAAGGACTATAGTTATACGGCATGTCCTACACGCACATATTATTACACTGAATACTATAAATTGATTCATATCAATAGGGAACATTTTTTAAAAACAATCAAAATCACAAGAGTTGGCCCACCAAGGCTTGAAAATTGATCTGCGCCTCTCCGAAAAAATAACAATAAGTAATTCGAAATGAAAAAAAGTTTCACATAGAATCGTATCCTCATTAGAACATGTGGTTTTTCGGTGGGATTATGGTGGGTAACTACCCTCCGCCACCTGAAATATTGCTTATTGGCGTTTTCAGATGGCGTGTGAATTGCCGATTAATAAGAATAAAAAAAGAAATGGTAGGCACCTACTCTTCAGTCACATACTACTAAGAGCATCATCAATTGGATACGACATAAATTATTATAAATAAGAAAACCATTCGGCAATGTCGTCTGTTGTTTTTATTATAATTGAACGACCTAATACTCGTAATTAAATTAAATTTACCTGTAAGTTTATTGGTCAAGATAACATAGAATTTGCTTAAACCCTAGTAATCAAGTACTCTCGTATATTGTTATTTTTATATATTATAATATAAAGAATAGAAAACTTTACCCCAGATAGACATTACATTTTTAAATAAAAATAATTAAAAATCCAAATTGTATTGATCATACCTTGTGATTAATAACGCGCCATAACATAATACTAGTTTTTATCATATTTTATATTATATTACTTTGAATCCTAAAAAGTTAAACTAAAAATACAGCTTTTGCATATTAAAATTATTATTATACATCATCACGCAACTAACATTCATATCAAAGCGCACAATAAAATTGAAGTAATACAGTCATTTGTATCTTAGGTTATTATGTGGTTGTTCAAATAGATTATCATACCAATATTATTATAATATATTGTATATATACACATTATGTATACAAAAAAGGGATGATGTAAATTGTTTTTGATTGTGATTGTTTTTGTTTGTAAGACTACTTACAGAAATTAAATTATATATAAATATATATTTATATATATATATATATATATATATATATATTAATATGTCATATATCATAAATAACTAATGGTAAATTAAGAAAAATAATGATTTACCAAATATCAGTAGGATAAGAAAAACAATAAAACTAAAAACGGATATATAACACAATCATAGAGACCAGTCAGCTGGTAATCATTCATCGAACATCTGTCATGTTTTGTTTGGAACCAAATATTTTAACCAGTTGGTTCTCATAGTCCTCAATGTTCCGTTTCATTATGTTCATACATGGGCCAAGCAAACGTTCAAATGCATCAACATCCAAAACTGCGAAAAAAAATTTAAATAAATATAAAATGTTTTTTAATTTTTTATATAACATAAAATTTGTGCCTCTGATCACTAGCACAATTTAATATGTAGTAAATAAAAAATACATGGATAACATGACAAAAGAAGTCATTCTTCCCAGCATTACATTTTGTTTTTATATAGATTTTTTTTTTCATTTATTCAAGTTTAAATCATTGTGTAAATGTCGACGCCAGTTTCTTTTGAAGGATCTTTAGAGATCCATAGCAATTTTCATTATAGCTAAATGACATAATTTTCAGGATTTTTAATGGGAAATATATCTAGCTTTACATGGAATATTTTATAAAAATGTATTAATTCTTCATGCACAAAATTAATTTTAAGATTTGTATGTAGCATTAAACTAGATATATAGTAGGGCATAGTTGATTTTACATAGCATATTATGATTTTTCAAAGTTTTTTTTAGCATTATTTGTTTTTATGATTTTTATATAAATACTAACTAAATAATAAAATAAAAAGATAAGAGTAAAATCTTTAAAATGTAATAACATATGGCAATGATCCAAAATATTCACATTCTTTTATCGATTCTTTTGTGGGCATTGTTGGCACAATTGTTTCACCCAAAATATGATAACTGATGATGATAATGTACACCGATTATTTTGCAGACCTTATTATACATAAACACAGAATTATTTTACTAAGAAACAACATTATGTAGAAAATAGGTACTATACCACAAATTTGTTATTTTATCATATTTTCACACGAAATAAAAGATTGAAATAATAAGAATTCTATTTTTCTAAACTGTACTCTGAAAATTTACAGTAGTTAATAAGCACTAATAATAATTGAATACAAATAATATTCAAAATCAGAAAGTGTTTCATTATATTGCTAAATAGTTAGATTGTACTGTATAAAATAATATACTCTTCTTAACTATTTGAAATGCTACAATATAACGAATTACTACTAATCAATAATTACTAATTATTAGTGTATTGATTGATCAATGGGTAATGAGTGCTACTATAATATGCATTAAATTTTAATGAAACAATAGAACTCTGTTTAACAAAAAAATATTTTATAAATAGTAACTTACAGTGTTACAGTAAACGCAAATGAATGTTGATAAAATATATTTTTAATTTGATAACGACTATAAGAGGAATTGAGGTGCCAATTCCTTTTATAAATGTATATAAGTCTCGAAATACATAGGCACAAAAAATTCAAATTATATCACCTAATATTATTTAAATTTTAATAATTAATTAATATTATAGCAATACTAAATAATGTTAAGTTTGAAACTGAAAAACTGTATAAGTTACCAAGGAGAAAAAGCATTTAATTTCAAACTCAAAATTTTTTGTTACATTTTAATTTATTTTTAAGCAAAATGTAATAAAAAAAAAAAAAAACAATAAATCAAAATAAATAGTTTATTTAAATTAAAACTGGAAATAAATAACTATTCAATGATGATTGAAAGTATACATAATAAAATGAAATTTGATGCAATACATAACCCTATTCGTTTCATAATAAAAAAGTGACGTCGAGAATTTCCATTAGCAAATTGTAAATGACAAGAATAGCTCACATACATCATTTACAAGATTTTTAGAGTTCGGAAAACGTAAATATGTAATGAATGGAAATCTATTAAAACGCGTTATTAAAATTCGGCGACCACTGTTAAGTCAAGTCAAACCACCGCCACAACAGTTAATGTAAACGAGACAACGTTGGAGAATAACTTCAGAGGTTCGCCTCTTGTTTATTACATATTAACGAGTACTGCTCGTTTGCCTAGATAAAATAAAATGTATTTCAATTTTGTATTCGCGCAAAAGAGTTTATTTACACAATCGGTTTATTGCAGAAAACGACCTTTTCGTTTAATAATGACGCCGTTTTCTGGCATTCTCCTCTGCAACGAAAACAGTAGAAATATAATTTTATAGTCCCCACTGGAAAAACAGCTTGAGCCACTGTTTAATGTATGGAGACTCTTCATTGAAGAGGTTCTCGGATCAAGAGCCCCGTTGACGAAATTAGAACGTTCTTACAACATTTTGTACAGCGGATAAATAAGGCTCCAGACGGATAAAATAAAAATTTTACAGAGCAAATTCACAAAAACAGCATTTGAGAGGGCATAAAGAAGAGGCATAACATAATTAGGAACATGGTTTTAAGCAAACATAATTAATAAACTAGAAATATCATAGATAACTCTCACAATTAAAATATTAGCCATTAAAATATAACTATGATAAATAAAATTTAAATATTGGTGTAGTATTTATAAACGTTTCAGTAAACCATTTAGTAGTTAACTACCTAAAAATTGTATGTTAGTTATATACAGCTGCCAGCCATTCTTTAGTAAATATTAGTACAAGAAAATATACTTCAATTTAATAGTAATGAGTTTTCACAAAATATTATCATTATGGATATTGTAATATATAATTTATATCTTTCTCCTGTTTAAAATTTTATAATTTAAATTGAGTTTCATATACAACACTTTTTATAATAACTAAAATCTTAGACGAAGCATGTTCAATGTTATTAACATTGTTTGATTGTAAAATTTTAAATGTTCAACAATTTATGTTTTAATTACTGAATTGATTAATACAATAATAATATTAACAATTATTTTATTATGTTGGTTAAAGGCTAACCTAAAATAACACCAAGTTTAAATCTAAAATTAAGACATCAATAATTTAAATGGAAAAACATTAAATTTTTTGCAGAACAAACCATTCCATAAATTTATAATAAAGGTTCAATTTATTTTAAAGATAAATTCATTATCTAAGTTGTATGCTTTTTTTTTTTTTTGCTTATAAAAATGAATTCAAATTTACTTCTATGTTAACATTTGTAAAAATGTAGGTTTATTTGTTTAGCTACATAAACATAGAAAATGTTATCTTTTATCGAAACAGAAAAGAAATAAGAACCTCAATTTTAAATTTTCACATCATATCTTGTCCCAAACAATATGACTTTTCAATAAAAAAAACCGTGAATATGTAATTATTTTATTTATAGAAATAAGGATATGATCACAATCACACATGATTCACTCATATGTGTGTGCTCCTACTGTAATCCCTGTCGTCGTCGATCTATTGACCATTAACAGAACAGTTTTTGCTCTGAATTGTATGAAATAAGTGTATATAACAAAAATATTCACTTCAATAATGTTTTAATATCGTATGTGACCAAATAATTTTAACTATTTATACCTATTATTGTGATTGAAATTGATTGGCAAAATTACAAAAGAAATTATATTACAATAATAATTTATCATTTTTATTTTTAATATTAAGAAAAATATTTTTTAATATTCTTACGATTTAAAAGATTATTATTGTTTATTTCAGAAAAATAGTCCATATAAAAGAAAATATTAGTATTAATTAACATAAAAAAATAATTGATTGAAATTTAAATATTGTAAATAAGCAAATATTTATTATCTAATATACTAATATAATGCTATATTTAATAGGTAAATTATAAAATTAAGTATTTCAATAATTGAGAATTTAGTCATGATTTAGAAATACAAGAGTATAAATGTATTAAAAAATTTGAAAATATTTAATAAAAGAAAAATTGTTATCAAATCAAAGGAAGTACTATTATACATGCCTGTTGAAACTTACCAAATATCCGCAAGTTTATAAAAAATTCTCAAAAAAAATTATAGTTAAAATAAATACATTAACGTTGAAACTCATTATGTCTACAATATAAAAATAAATGTTTAGTTTTGCCAATGAAATAACTAAGTTATGGAATAATCTAGTTTTATTGTAACCAATAAATTATAAATTATATTACCTTAATAGAATAAATATCAATAGTTTTTCTTAATAATAGAATCAACATTTTTTATCATTATTTCTCTTTTTTTAATGCCTAGAATGTTTTAAAATCTAGTTTAACTTTAATTTATTTTGGTTAAAATAAATTTTAATTTATCACTCAAAAACATATGGGTAAAAATTTTATTTGAATGAATTTGGAGAATAACCTTGATTACTTAATTACACTGAAGTTGATAATACAGGGTCAGGCAGTGAAACGGTATGATTTTAATATTTAATCATTATTTAAGAATGAATTTATTTTTATTTTAATAAATATAAATATAAGTATAAGAATTACCATTTGATGCTCAATACAAAAAATACTATTACCTAACCTCAATTTTTATCTAGGCATTCTTAGTCAGAACTATTGCATGACTTCTCGCAGCATATAATTGGAAATTGCTTTAATCTCATCTCAAATGTGTTGTTTGAGTGCTAGGCTAGTTTTTAGTGGATTGACCTCAAACACTTTAGATTTAAGATATCCCCATAAAAAAAATAAACCACAAGCCATTAATTCAGTAGGAGACCATGAAATATACTGGTTGAGTGAAATGACACAGCTATAAAACAAAGCATTCACAGCATTCTTTGAAATTTTTGCAGTGTGACTTATTGCACCATCTTGCTGAAAAAGTATGTTTTCATTTACTGGGAAATATGCAAGTTGTGGTATAAGAAAGTTAAGAATCATTGTAACATATCACCCAGAATTAACAGTTATTACATTTTCAGCTTCATTCTCAAAAAAAAAATGGGCCAATTACTCCATTGGCTGAAATTGAGCACCGTACTGTAACTTTTTAAGAATAAAGGGATGTTTTGCATTGTTACAATATGGTAGACTGGAATGATAATGGTGGTCAGAATACAGTCTTCCCCTACCACTTTAGGAGCTTATATCCCCCTCCTCAAATCATCCAATTTCACTGCCGAACCGGGTAATTACATAAGTTTAAATAGTATGAATATAAATTGTTTATTATATATTTAAAATACTAATACAAATTTACAAAAATTAATAGAATTATCTGTGAATTCAATATGACAGAAGACAAAATATGATCAGAATTTAAGAATATTACAATAACAAGATAATACAATATTATTAATATATAAAATAATATATAATTGATAATTATAAATTGTGATATGCCAATTAAATAGTAAAGAATTATATAATAATTTAACAAAATATTTTAAATAACCCTATTGAAATTAAGACAAAGATTGTATAGTGTGTTAATAGTTCAGTTTTGCTAAGCACCATAACGTTATTTAAAATTAAATTTTTAAGAATAGGATCTATAAAATTTAGATAATAAATCTAATATTAATTTTATAGTTTTTAATGATATTGATATATTATAATATACAAGTACTTACATGCTAATTTGACTTTGCCTTCAGCAAACACTGATGCAGCACGACCTTTATGGGTGACAAGTGCTAGTTCACCAAAATAACCACCTTTTTCTATTTGATTAACCTATAAAAAAAAAAAAAAAATACAGAAGTTAAAATATTTGATATATAATAAAACTTTAGACAAACCTTGATTTGTTCACCAGTTTCACTGGTTACTAATACATTAACAATTCCTTCTTCAACAAAATACATGCCATCTCCTGGATCACCTTGATTTATAATGCAATCTTTGTCTTGATAGTATTTAGGGACTAGAGCGTCAGCCAAATTCATACGTTCATATGACTGAAATAATGTTATAACAATAGTAATTTTAATAAATTTGAACTACTGACTGGCTTACCTGTAATGTTTTTAACATAGGAACAACTTCAATGAGCTCTTCGTACATCTTGCGTTTTTTAAATGCACTCTTCAATACAATACGTCTAAATATTTGACGATCCATGGCCCACAAAAGACCATTTGATTTGGCTTTAATAGTTGCTGCTCGAGGCATATTATACAATAATGCGAGCTCTCCAAAACTACCCTTGTGTTCATATGTATGCACCAAATGATTGTTACCTTCTGGATCAGTGACATAAGCTTCAAATGTGCCTCTGAATTTACAACAATATTAATATTTTTATTTATTATTCAAAAAACTAGATGTTATAGTTATTATATTTTCTTTACCTATCAATGACATAAAAGTTATCACCATCATCACCCTGTTTTATTATATCATCTCCAGCATGCACTTCTCGATCGAACATAGCATCAATCACATTATTCATTTGTTCCTAAAATGTTTTTTTTTTTTTTTTAATATTATTATTATTAATCATTTATTTAATAAACTATTACATGTAAATATGATATAATATAAAATATAATGGGTCCAACTAAACAAACTCGAGAAATTTTAGAAAAATATAATCATAACCCTTATTTATATTATTAATTTTATGATTAATTTCAAGATGATATGAAAATTAAGTAATTTAATGTGCATTTTGAACAATTAACTGCGATAAATTTTGTTATGCATAACAATTACAATTATCGACAATCAAATCATCATATTAGTTAAGATTCATATCAATATAATATTTCACTTTATCTGATTCAAATACAATTGCTAACAGATGTTCAGTTAGGTATAATAATTTAGTAAGATAAATAAATACACCGATTCTCTGACTTAATCTCAATTAATGTTAGAATAACATATAATATAACTTTTTTTTTTTAAATCATTTTCAGAATTTAAATAACATCAAATAAAATAATGTATAATATTTATGTTTAATAAACTGAATATTAATAAATAACTTGAAATTATAAATATAAGACTAATTTTATAAAATGTAATGGTTGGTGTCAGAATTTCCTGTTACATAGTTATATATAGTTATATACATTATTATTATCCATAAGAATAAAAAATATAAATCAAATTAACATGCATAATTATGATATTCAATTTAAATCAAACCACAAAAATATTCATGTCAAATTTTAATTATTATTTTTAAACTTGAAAATTTAGTTTCAATTTTTTTTTTTTTTTTTTGCTTATAATAGCTTATAGCACTTATATATTAATAAACTACATATAATGCATATGAAATGCAAACATAAACAAATAGTTTGAAAAAATTATTCTGAAATAATTAAATAAATCAATACATTAATTATTATTTCTTAGTTATCATTGCGAAGGTATTTATTTTTTTGGATTTTATTGATACACTAGATATAAGATATATTTTTATTTATTTAAAAAATAAAATAATAAATAAATAAATAAATTTTAATTTGTAAGATAGATTTAAAACTTATATTTAATTTGTATAATCTGAAAATTATCAGTAAATTCAAATTTATAACTAACTAAAATCAATAAGTTTTAGGTATTTGAATAAAATATGTAACAATAAGTTTTTTCACAAATTATAGACAAGATCATGTTTTTTTTTCCAAATACTAGCAATCTTTAAATTAATAATATAATTTAAATTATTTATAAGAATAAAAAACAAAACACTTTAATATTATATTTAATAAAAAAAAAAAAAATCATAAAGCAATATCAATAAAATTCAAGTATTCATATAATAAATAAAAAAATAATGTTAACATATCTATTTTTATAATAAAATTGGGCATACACACATGATGAAAGCTAATATTTCTATATATATATTTTACTATATCTTAATCTTATTACTCAAAAAAAGTGTATTTTTTAATTTGTCATAAGCTATCTTTATAACTATTAATTTAAAAATTAAAAAAATATTGTAGAGATTGTGGGAAGGAGTCTTCAATATTTTTTTTTTTTTTTTTTAAACCAATACTTCAATAAAAATATTATTTAAGTTCTTTTGAGTTTTATTGTATACTTAAATATTTAAAAATTATATTAAACATTTAGTATGTAGAAATAAAATACTCAATAGCTGACCAATAGATTTTAATAACAATTGTTTACTTAATATTAAATACAAGTAAAAATTTTTTCTTTCAAATTAAATAAATTAACTTACAGGATCCAACGCCCTGAATATGAAAATATTTTTAACACTAGCTGCTAAGGCTTGACGTTGATCATCAGATTTAGGAAATACAACCTAAAAAAAAAATAGTTTAAGTACATGAAATTATATGAATATAATAACATAAGTTTTATTAATTACACTTGGTCCTTCTTCTTCTTCATCTTCTTCTGGATTGTAAGTTTCTGCAAAAACTGATTTGCGTCTAGAACTATAACGTGTTGGCGGCGCTTCTAAAAAGTTTAAAAATTATTTACAATTCTGTTAGCTCCGTTAAATTTATATGTAATTAATTTAATTATAAATATTAGATTCATACATATCCTATTGCAATTATTACCTATTTTTAACCACCATGGTACTAAAAAAGAATCCAGTGAATTTGATTGAAATTTAAGAAATGATAATTTCAAACAATTGGTATTTTCAAAAACATTAAGACTCTCTTTGAATAAATACGAATCATTTTGAGCATTAATTAAATTATAACAACCTTTCTGGTTCAATCTAAATATCTTCAAACAACTCATGATGAAAATGTGAAACTGAATGACAGCAAAGAAAAAATAATTTCAGTGCACTTTATTATGGCATGTTAATAGCATGTATAAACAAATAAAACCATGTTTTTTTTAATTAGGTATTTAAATAATTTTTAAGATTTAATATCTTTGATTGTGAAATATTTAATACCATTATTGCATATAGAACATTACAGAAGTTATATAAAAAAATATAAACATAAATATTATTTTAATAATACATAAATGAACACAATTGTAAGAATTAGTTTGATTTGCGTATAATTTATTGACTCATTAAATGAAAATAAGTAATAATAAATAAAATACATTAATCACAGAGCTCATAAATAAAAAATGTGTACTAATCCAAACAGGACATTATACTAATATATTAAATTTAGTAAAAAAAATAATTGATCAAGGAACTGATAATCCTGTATAACTTGTGCTACAAATTTATTACAAGTTGTTAAGACCATTTCAAAAAAAAAAAAATATTTGAAACAAATGTATACTTACCAAGTAATAAAGAAAATAAACAAGAGTATTGCCTATAAAAACATAGATTTGTATGTATAAGCAATGACTATACCTAATGATGTAATCATATTTTTAAATATTTATATTATAATGTTATAATGCATTTTATGAGTAGATAGTATTACCATTTAATTTTTTGAATAATTCTTATTTTCAATGAAAAGTTTGCCAAAAAACACTGCTCTAAACTGAATAAAATTTCAATTTGTTGATAACAGATTGAAACAGGTAATATAAATAGTTGATAATATTTAATTACAATTTTGTACGGAATTAATGAACAGAAAAAGCCTAAATTAAAGACGACAGTGCATTAACAGTATTATTGTTGTAGGGCAATGATTGAACACTGAGTGTAACCATATAAAGATAAGTGAAAAAACTGTAACTCATTAAACGTACCGATATCTGAAGCATCGTCTTCATCGCTGAAATCACCTTGGCTCTGTTGCTGTACTGCGGACAACTTGGATTTCTTCAACTTGTCAAAGAACTCAATCGCATAGTCGACAATGTCGCTGGGCTGATCTAGCAAGTAGCCAATCGTGAAGTCGAGCAGCATCTCCCTGAGCTCGTCGGGCACGTTGAGTTTTGCGGCTGTTTCGCTGGTGGCACTCATCGTGCTGCTGTCCTGTAACGACACAACCAGTGGACAATAATGAGAGCGCAAAATTTAAAGGACACTTTTTAGAGTGTGAGAAGAACCGGCAATAACTGAACAGGAACCCGTAGGAAAATAATAATAATAATAATAATAAAACGGCATAAAGACAAGCACGACGTATGTGAACTATAGGTGAGCCCACACACGGTACATACGTCGGTCGGCCGTGTCCTTGACTGTAGAGCAATAATAATAGCAAAACTGTGTCAGAAAACGAACGTCGCCGCCTCGGCCTTCGAGGCACTTGTACGACAGCGGCGGTGGCGGCAGCGGCGGCGGCGGCGACAACGACAACGATATCAGCTACCGCACCATACGTAACGCTGATGGCGATAACTCACCTGGATGCGTCCCGATTCGTTTGGTCCACCGGCTCGGCGAGCGCGTTCCGGAACGGTTCACGGTTTGGCAGAATCCGTTGTCGGCGGCGGATAGCGATCACTGGGTTAGAGAGATCCAGAAACGGAAGATAACACGCACGCACGCACACACACGCGGCGCTCACTCTACGGCGGCGAGTATACGCACACACTCTCGGCGGCGTCGTCGGCGGTGGGGCGCGGAGGAGATCGGGCGGCGCGAGCTATCAGTGACCGAGATCCGTGCGGCCGTACGAAAACAACAAACAGTGCCGACCGTGGATCATGGTAGTGGCAGAACTCAGTGTTCCGTTGTCACGGTGTATGTGTGTGTGTGTGTGTGTGTGACGATGGCACTCGGACGGCGACCCTGCAAGCACAGAAGATGAAAAGCGAACAGAATTCGCTTTTCATTTAGTTTTTTTCTTTCTATTTCTCGTTTTCCGTTTTATTATTTTTTTTTTTTTCTTGAAAACGATGTTTCTCCCGTAAGCCAAGGTGCGTTCAAAGAGACGTACCTCGCGCTGCTCTATTATCAAGCGATTACAAGCGCCTCGCTCTGCCGCCGTCCGCGACGTTGCCGAGCAACTTACATCACCCGCAGGCCGCTTAGCCGCGCGACCGGAGCGCAACCCGCGGTCGGGGCTGTAAGCTTCCCGGCGCGGGCCGCCCGCGTGAGCTGCTCTGCCGACGCGAGGAAGCTCGTACGCGCAATACCTGCCGACGCGTACCTGTTCTCGCGCGTCCGGGCTAGCCGTAACTTATCCGCATACACCCTGCAACGTCGCCCGTTCATCAATTAGCAACGTAACAAGTGTACACACCGGTATTATTATAATTTATAATGATACACGTCGTGCGTTGCGTCGCTGCATTATTAATATCGTTAATTGGTAATTGTCTACGTTCAACGCGCTCCGACCTATTATACCTATGTAAGGTATAGTGTCGGCGCGTGGTATACACTATGAACGCGGTCATAAAGACCTACCGTCAGGGGTGCCGATCTCATCCCGTATCCCCACCTTCTCCTCCCACCGTTATATTAGTCTTAATCCGCCACCTAGTACCTAGTGTACGGTAAGGTGTTCGAGAATTTTTCCCGGGGAGCATTTATTTTTTTATAAGATAAATTAATCGATTGTTAAACAGTTTAAATTTCAAGCAAATATTAACAAGACATCATGTCATTTTCCAAACAAATAGAAACCCAAGAAACCGAAAAAATTTCAAAAGGACAGTTTAAGATTGCATCTCCCTTGTAAATACGTGAGTTATAAGGTCGTACGATTGTTATTCTACTACAATTGGATCTGAAGCAAGGCCGTAACTAGAAATTTTTTCGGGAGGGGGGGGTCCAAAACATGTATAATGTAATTTTATTGAATTTAGATTTTGACTTTTAATATTTGGTTAAAAATAAGACTTTTTAGTTTTCTTTTATTAAAATATAATATAATCAAATAAACAAAATTACTTTGACATCTTATCACGTCAGATTTCTATATACTACGCGCGCTGGTTAGAAGTCTCTGATTATTTTTATTAGACGCTATAAAAATATCTAAAAATAGTCAATGATTAATTGGAGTTTAAGTTATTTTTGACTGAAAACATTTGTGTTGGTATTAAAAATAAATTATTATTTTAAACATTTGTAAAATATTGAAGAAAATTCGGGGGGTCCAGACATCCTGGACCCACCCCCAGATACGGCCTTGATCTGAAGGGTTACCTAACATGATAATATATTGTCTATGATCAGTGATCATTTAAAAACCGCGTAATTAATATAATTACCATATTACTATTATATTATTATTATTATGATTTAGAGAACGGGTTTAAATACATTCATGAGTATTATTTTAACAGATCTAATATAGCAGAGTAACTAGATTAATTGTATTCCGTTACATGGGTAGGTGCGTATGATAATTTGTAACCGTCAAAAGTGCAGTTGCATGTATAGTTTCATTTATACATAGGTACTTCTTGAATGTGAAAATCCTTTACATTTTATGATTTTAGATGCTTAATATTATAATGTATGGTCGTTTTTCATTTTCTAACAAATATATTTTGTACATCTACTTATATTTTATCGCAGCAAAGACAAAGCCTGTAATAAAGATAGCAGATACGCACTTGACGTTTTTCCTAACAATCATTATTAAACAAAAGTAAAAATTAGGTACTATTTGTATTATCAACAATGTGTAGTAAATAAGATACACATACTATCCGACACCTAATTTGTTTCATATATTATGTAAAAAAGAATTAACCATACGACGACTATAATATATGAGATGTGTCTACAATGTTATTTTTGAATTTAAATATATTTTTAAATATTAAGAATACATCAATTCGGAAAAAGTAAAAAATGTATATTTTAGGTTTGAAGCAAACATTACTATAATACTACTCGTATAATATTTTAATTGATCGGATGGCAGTTTTATAAAATAAAACGTGTTGATAATAATAATATATTTATTTCTTTTTTCCGACTTCCGAAAATCAATTTAAAATAGTAATTCTTAATTTATATATGGTAAAAATTAGCCAGATAACTGTATACATACCTAATACATATTACCTACACTATACTCATACATTTTTTCGTGTTGAGACTGTGTTGACACATTTTTTTCTAATCAAAGTATTAAATCTTAAATTAGGTATATCATACGTATTTTAACAGTATTCAATCTGAATAATAAAACTATTTGATAAAAGTCCTGATAGCTACGAAATACCAAATACATGTATAAAGTAGTCGTGTTTGAAAAAATATGTTTTGATATTAATAACAACTGAATACACACTACACGCCCACACAAAATGGTGTTCTGCGTTGGTAGATAGGTATATAGTTCATGAATATTATTGTGATTGACGCAAACAAATCGTAAAGATAATATTCAGTTCAAACACGACCGCACACACACACACTTATTTTTAACTCTCATGTAATGAATTTCTATAATCGCTTTTTAAAATCACTAGGCAGTTGAAATAATAACTTCTCGAGAATTATGTTCATAATCTTTATAAGAATCAGTTCATGGTGCACGTCTTAAATTATAATAATATTACATTGTAGTATAGTAAGTAAAATAGAGTAGATATTTTTTTCCAGAGTGTTTATAACTGAGATTTTTTTTAATCATCTATTTGTTAATCGATAACAAAACACAATGGAATCGTAATAATTGTTATTATTTTAGAATTAAGTACCTGTAATTTTATTTATTATATTATTGTGTCAATATATTAAAATAAAGTATAATTATTTTTTATAAATTAAAGGTTTACTCTAAACATTGATGTAAAAATAGTAAAACAAAAATATATGAAAATTGCTCACTCAACGAAATTAAAGTTTTTCGCAGTAAATAATTAATTATAGAATTTTTAATAATATATATTTGAACGTATGACTTTCTAATTTTATATTTATGAAGGTGATTTAATTTAACGAAAACAATTGAAAATTCCGTATTACTATTATTATCAATTAAATAATAATAGCGTGAGCTAAGTTTTATAAAATTATACTAAATACCATTTTCCTTTTTTTAATTAGAAAATTATATATGCAGTGTATGTAAATATAGATGATTACTAATTGATCTAAATATTTTTCATAAGGTAACAGTTGAATATACTAGAGAAGAAACAATTTAATAATGTTAATAGTTTATAGCACATTATTCAATTGTTCGTAATAATTATAAATATTAAACACAATAAACATTATTAATGATAGTAAATAATAAACATTTACCTTTCAGTATTTTGGTTCCTAATTATTTATGACATAACATTAGTATACCAATCATTTTATGTTTTGTATATTGATATTCGGTTTACATTAAACCGAGTTCTATTAATCATGAATTGTTAGTATTCATTTGTTCAGTTTCTTATTTTAGGGAATAACAGTAATACAATTTTCATTCAAGTGAATAGAAAATATTGCTAATATTTATTAATAAACGTTAAATTTCTGGAACATGGCAATATTGAAGAAAATTGAAAGACAGATCTAGAAGCCAAAAAAGTAACGTCCTCACTCAAACAATATTATCAAAAAACGATACTCAATTATTAATTAAAGTCAAATCGTACAACAATTGACAATCAAGTTGATTTCTTCAACATACTAAACTGCATAAGATCAAGCAAAATGTCACGTCTTGGCCACACCCAGAGAAAATGCGTAGAAAAATAGAGGTAGCAATTAATAAACTACGAATTGGTAATAAAAAAAACCACCCAAAGCTACCTAATGAACAAAAAGCAACCTTCAATCACGAATTCTATAGAAAAAAAGCCAATCTTCCTCAATATATTTCCACATCACTCAACAACTGTCAAGAATCCACAAAATAAATAATTGAATTTATTATATCCTCAAAATCATTAAATAACACTTAAACAAAACAATGTATTAAGAATTATATCTTGTTATCTGTAACCTTACGATATATTAAAAAAAAGTTTGTAGATCCCAATGGCCGATGCTGCCGTAGGTTATATATATACATAAGAAACCTAAAATATTATTTTTATGAAATGGTTTGAGTTATTACCTGATAATACTACAACCAGTATTCGAAACATTCACTCAATAATTGAACTCCTTCACGTTCATTGAATAAAAAGGAACTCATTCACGCTCATGTTCATTTTTTTTTAAGTGAACACATTCATGGTTATGTTCTATGAAAAAACGGACGTTCATTTAAACATTTTATTTTATCACAAAATCATATTTTGTGAATCACAAAACTGCCACCTGTATAAATGGGACCCTTACAAAATGTATTAGCTACATTTTTCATTTATGTTTAAAACCTATATTTAAATATATTAATTACTTATACATATATTTTTAAAATGGTAAATACAAATGTAATTTATCCAAAAATCGTTCAAATTCATTAAAAATATAAACGTCTTTTACGTTCTATTTGAAAAAAGCGAGCGTTGTTCACAAAATATGAACGTGAACGCGTGAACGCGTGTTAACAAACGACATTCTTTCCAAACGCCGACTATAAAAATGTTGCATTCTAAGTTAACATAAAATATTAAGATATGTTGGTTTTCTTTGGTTTATCTCTATAGTCGGTTATATAGATTTTAACGATACTATCCAGGGTAATGCTATACAAAAAATATGTTATGTATATTTATACAGCCAGAAGCGTATTTAAATATTTTCCGCGTGTGGGCCTGTGGAAAACTGCCACCGTAGATAACTACAATAATATACCGCGCTAACTGAATCAATTAATTAAACTACCTATTATAAAATATGTATTGATTAGGTAGGTATGCTAAAAATACTAAACAATTAAATACTAAAACATAATTTATTAAGATTTAAACCATTTATATTAATAATTAATAACAAAATACATTCTTAAAATTATATTCTGCTATAGGGACTATAGTGCCTATGGCGCCTGCATAAATACACCACTGCATACAACTCATATTCATTAAA